TTGGCATATGACATCATGAAACATCAACTCACCTTATGAAATACCACAAATTTGCGCCGATATAGTGTATATTTTCTCACATCCTAAACGTCCATATCTTTATCGGTAATATATAATAACAAGATACAAATGCCATATTCGCCGTAAAAAACAATATTTCTTTAATATGCGTTTATAATAGCGTATAGGTTGTTTCGCTAAGTATTCAAATTTCCCTCGTGGGCTACGCTCGAAAAGCATAATGGGATAAATTGAATAATCAGGCTCTGCGTCAGGCTGGACCATATAATTATAAGTATTAAACCTTTGAATGCTTTGAATTATCTCACGCTGGGTTCCGTAAATGAAAGCAGCATTTTGCAAACATTATATTAGGACTTTGTTCTATTTTAACGGTTCTTGACCGAATATGTCACGCCATGCTTGTAAAGTGCTAGTACGAAAAGCTTCATTGTTGACTAGGGCACTTTTCTCATACTGATGTAATTAGCTAGCGATAAATTAATAAAATCATCTAATGATCGGAACGAAAAACAATAAAATATGAACCATATATAACTTTTTGAAATCAGCAAACTTCAACAGTAAAGAACATTTGAAACACAAGTAATTTTGAAGTACTCTCAGCTGAAATTCTTCAAATTTAATGCGAAGAGCATTTTCTTAGTTTAAGAATATATATTTCTTATAACAAGAAATTGATATCTCAATATTTTCTTAAGAAAACATTTTCTCATTTTAAGAAAAACATTTTCTTATGATAAGAAAGTGATATCTCTGATATTTTCTCGAGAAATAATTTTCTTATTTCAAAAAAATGTTTTCTCAAATTAAGAAGAAAAAAATCTTAAGAAAATATTTTCTCAATTTAAGAACATTATTTCTTGAAACAAGAAAATATTTTCTTAAATTAAAAAAATTCAATTTCTTAAGAAATTCATTTTTTGTTGTGATGTTATTTATATAGGACATATAACTATTTTCTATATGTTACTACATACAGGTTAGGCCAGTATAATAATCAGAATACTACACAACTTTTGTCTTTGTTATCCCAAAATAGCTGAAGTTATAAGGGAAAACACCTACATGCATGTATGGACGACATATACGATTCCGTGAACTTAGAAGAAGAAGCTAAGAAAGTTTCTTCAGAAATTATTGAAATCCTTCGCAACGGTGGTTTTAATGAAGAAGAATGATGAAAAGATAAAAGGTCCTGTTGAAGAGAAAGTCCTAGGAATGGTCTCGTATCACCACAACGACGTATTTGAATTCAAAGTAAATCCTCCTGAACCAACCAAATTTACAAAGAGAGCAATTTTAAGTCAAGTAGCTCGAATTTACGTTCGTTTTGGAGCAGCTGCAGCTCTCCTAATTCGTGCCAAAATAGAAATGCAAAAACTATGGCCAGAAGGATTGCGATGGGATGAGGAACTACCAAAAAGAGCCAAACAGCGAGGATTCGATTCTTCCAAGAGATGAACGACCTAAACAACGTCCCCTTCGCATGGGAGATGCAAAGAAACCAACACTTTCGCAACCAGATTCATCGCAGCAAAGTCAAGAGTAGCCCACTGAAGTCGCCGATCATACCTCGCTTAGAGCTACAAGAAGCAGTCCTGGCAGTACGATTGTGTTGTTTCATTCTCGAAGAGTCTCGGATGCAGTTTGTAAAGATAATCTTCTTCTCAGACAGCCACACTGTCCTTTCATGGATCCGAATCCAACCCAGAGAATTTTAACCATTCGTTTCAGATCGAATCGCCGAGATCTAGAGCAAGTCTAGTCCAGAGCAAGTCTATAATCCAGAGCAATGGAGGCATGTTCCTGGAGAGCAAACGATTTCGCTGACGATGTATCGAGAAGAATACCTGCTCTACAATTGATCGGCAGATGGAAGTACGGCCTAAGGAAGTTGATCAATCGGAAAGCCGAAAACCTGCACCTGTATTGCAAGTTACTCAACCGTCAGAAATTATTCCAGGTAAGAAATTTTGAGCTTGGAAAAAACTTATTCGATTCACCGGCTGCGTGTTTCGATTCATAAAGAAGCTACAAAACCGTCGTCAAACCAAAGAGAAAACAGAAACAACCCAGTCGACCCGGCCAGAAAATACTTCAGAAGAACTATTTCAATATCGGCACCGGGTTAGAAGACGCCGAGTTATACTGGATAAAGCGAAGCCAGAAGTCACTCCATAATCGCATTAGAAAGGGAGAACTGAAAGGAATAACCCGATGGCAACGGAACGATCAGAGTCGGAGGACGTGTAAACAAAGCCATGACATCGTACGAAACCCAGTTTCACACTCACGTGAACACAGGATATCGCTACTGATACCTCGTAAATTCCACCAAAACGGTCACTCAGTTATTGCAACAACCGTTGCAAACATAAAGAAAAAGTATTGGATAATTCCATGCTATGAGTTTAATTCGTTTTTTATGAGTTGTTTTAGGACAGTAAGGTCACCTCTCCACTTTAATTCTGAATTCTCGAGGAACAAGTTATCGTAAAGATCCGTGCAACGCATTTCATATAAGCCTGATGATTTTCAAATTCGTTCGATTTAACGACTTCGCGTTGTCGTTGTGCTCAAATACTTCGCATTCGCGTGTTCATTGTGTTCAATAGCAAACTCGTTGTATTTCACGCAAAGTTTAAACGGCAATGATATTCTTTCTAGTTAAAGAGCAATGTTACGACATGAGGTCTCATATTTTGAATTGAGTTATGATTAGGGAGTTTTTGGTGAAAATGACGTTCTGATTTTATATGCATGGTTCAAAAATATATTCTGTTGCTGCTCAAATGACAAAAATAAAGCATTTTGAATGTTTACAAGTTTTAATGTGGTCTTCAGTTTCTGAGCGGATAAGGGTAGAAAACATGTTTTTTATTTTAATGTTTTCTCGCTGCTGAAAAGTTCATCACGCCATTTTTAACTATGTTTTGGAAAGTTAACGATGCCCTTGAGGATGATTAACTTTAAGCATGTTTTAACTAGGATTAAGGCTACTTTAACTACCCTTTTATACAACTGGCTTAACTACGTGATTCGAGTTAACCACGTTTTAACTACAAAAATAGTGATTAAAACGTGATTAAGAGCTTTATACAACCGGCCCCGGTTCCATAGAAAAGCACAGGAAGTACAAATAACTCAACGGATAATTATTTTTGGTGTTATAGCTTCGCTAATTCAGTATCTTTACATCTAGTTTTAACGGCCTTTTTTCTGCCATCATACAACAACAGTCTCTACTGAAGTTGTTTACTTGTGGCGTTTCTCAAACCGTGAAAGCGGCCTAAAATGATATTTTTTCTTCTCTTGCAATAAATAATTGCTATAATTTGCTCACAGGAGTTTTATTTCATAATTTTTTCTGTTTAGATAATTTCTTTATCTTCTCTGTCGAAATACACAGAGATGTGGAGGATGAATCTCGTTTCCACCAAAATGTTGTTTACCCTAACGATCTTGCTATACTTTGGCGGAATTATGATCAATTGCAATGAAGATATTCCTATTTGTGACATGCAATTGAAACAGCTCAAAGAAGACATGAAAAACTGGGAAAAAATATGTGTGAAAGAGAGTCTGGGGAATTTAAAAGACATTAAACCAAATTTTGTCAACGGTCGCCGCGAATCAAATTCTTCATATTGCCGAGCCGAAAATAAGTACCTGAAGGAAAGAATGCGTATGCATTCAAACATGTGCTTTTATGAAGGTAAGTTAATCGATTTTCTTATTACATTGGCATCAGGCTAAATACCATGCATGGCATGCATCTGGCATAATCACGGATTGTGGCAAGTGCCATGGTATTTAGCAAAATCGTTATGGTCTTAACATATGCTTTTTGATGTTATTTAAAACACTTCTCTTTTTTACTTACTGATTTAACCGTTTTATCACCTCTTTTCACTCTCGCCGGCGCGAAGCGCCGTACGAGGGTACTAATTCTTGTGTGAATACTTGTGTGTTATTATTCACTGGCGCTGGCATAGAGGTAAAGAATGGTAATGGGCGACTTGCGCTAAAGCAAAGCATCACGGTAGTTTAGTTACACAGTAGAATTTTCCAATATGGCGATCGCGATGTGCTTTGTTGTGTTAACCGCGAATAACTCAACAATCCACGAGTAATTTTTTTATCTAGTTTAAGTAAAAAGCTTTTATAAATTCCTTAAGGCTTTTTCAGGCCTTTACCGTCTCATGGAATTTTTACAAGCTTTATATTTTGCAATATTCAACACCGTTGACAAGCGTGCGAAGTGAAACATGGCTTCGATTGAACATGGAGGAGCAGACATTTGCCTTTTCTTCACACTTAGGAGGTAGGTAAATGGATAAAAATCATTTTAAATGAAAGGCTCACTCTTGTTCGTTACGTGCGAGAAATATCTCGGCGATCGCGCTGTTTTCAGCAACTTGAGGGGCTAAAATGTTCGTACAACTAGCCAGCTAAAACAACACATGCTTTGATCAAGCGTTCCATTTTCAAACCAAAACATTGAGTTTGTTTGGCGGGAAAAATATCCGTTGAAATTGTTTGACATTTCATTTTTAAACATTCACATTGTTGATATTGTTAAAAAGTACTTTTAAACACCATTGGTTGCTCGTTTACAATTCTGGAGGATTAAAAAAAAAATTTTACGTATACTTGAAATACTCGAGCGTTGCCGCCGTCTATTTTAACGAATTTTCGACGTGTCTTGTTGCTCTCTTTTTACGAAAATATTATGGAGGAAACGGAGGTAGCTTTAAAAACTAGAGGAGGAACAACCTGGTTGTGTACCACTTTGTTCCAGCAATAGTGTGAAGAACAAGAATTTGTCTTTTTACAAATTTCCTTCGGAGTCACATAAGAAAGAAAAATGGCTAAACTTGTTAGGCATACAAAAACAGCCTTTAAAAAGCCACAAAGTATGTTCACTACATTTCCCGGGTGGTAAGAAAGTGTTGGATGCATTCCCAACTGGTCCTATGTCATCACATAGACCAACCAAAAATAGCAATGAAGGTCGGGGCAGTAATAATAGTGCCAGCAATGATAGTACCAGCAATGATAGTACCAGTGTCCCTATCCTTGACAAACAGCAGTTGACTGAAGATGAAGATGAGCCTCTATACAATGACCCAAAAACTGAACTTGCTGAATTAAAAACCAAACATGAGGAATTGTTAATGAAATACAGCCAGTGTGTACTACGCTTAGAACATGTTATTGCAAGTGATGCAAATTTCAAGTTTTATACTAGTTTTCCGAATTATGCAACATTCAAAGCATTTTTTGACTACTTGCAACCAGCTTGTAATTTTTTAATGTATGCTGGATCATGTAACATGGAACATGTAGAGCCAACAAAACAAAAGCACGGACGGCCACGGTCACTTTCCCCAGAACAAGAACTGTTCATGGTATTAGTTCGGTTGAGATGTGGATTGTTAGGACTTGACATTGCCAACAGGTTTGGAATTTCACACACCCAGTACTCACGCATTGAAACCACTTGGTTGGGGTTTCTTTACCACCGAATGAGGGCTCTCCCCATTTGGGCACCACGTAAACATGTTCAGGAGACCATGCCACAAGCCTTCAAAGATAGCTATCCTAATACCCGTGTTATAATTGACTGTACAGAAATTTATATTGAAATGCCAACATCATTTAGAAGTCAGTCTGCAACTTATTCCTCTTATAAAAATCACAATACTGCTAAAGGGCTCATTGGGATATCACCTGCTGGATATCCAACATTTGTATCTGAGCTTTATACTGGGAGGTCCAGTGATAAACAAATTACAAAAGATTGTGGCATTCTGAATTTGCTTGAGCCGGGAGATGACATCATGGCTGATCGGGGGTTTAATATTGAGGATGATATGCCTAGTGGAATTGGCTTAAATATCCCACCATTCCTAAATGGAGCTGATCAACTTTCAGTGAATGATGAGAGTGAAACAAGAACAATAGCTGCAGTTAGGGTGCATGTAGAAAGAGCAATTCAGCATTAGCGCATTAAATGTTTCAGAATAATAAAAAACACTTTCCCTTTGAGCATGGCACCAGAACTGAACAAAATTTGGGTAATTTGTTCATATCTAACACTTTTCCAGCCACCCTTAATAAACGATAAGCCATCTGAGGAAACAATTACTGAGGGCACATAATATTCTGTAATTTGATAATTTAATTAATCTTTGAGTTCAGCATAAATGTAACTAAAGTAAAAAGAAGTAAGTTTTGGAAGCATAGTTTTGCTCCACAATTCATGATCAAAGTATATCCGTTCACAATGGACTTCCTTTGTAGTATATACCACAAAGTCAGTCCATTCTACGTTGCATGAAGCCATGGTGCCCTGCACCTGAAAATAATATGCATGACTTCTTTTCAACATAGGTTTAGGGTCCTTCACATCTGCCACTTGCAGATAAAATGAAGGATCCGTGCAGGCTTCTTCAATGTTCATGTCCCTTTTGGAAAATGGACACTTGACCTCTCCAATACCATATGGATTCTCTTCACTGGGGTCATACAATAAAAAATCTGGACTTGCACCTAGCCATGGAGCTTGTGCATTGACTACCAATCCACACTCAACACATGCTTTGATTTGTTGTCCATTGTCAAGACAGTTTTCTAAATGTGTCATGATTGCATTTTGTTCATTGTTACGTCCCCATTCACATGATTGTGGTGCTTTTGTTTTGCTGCCAGCCGATGAAAACTGCTTTGAAAGTAATGATTTTGGAAAAATATTTTCCCGACGTTTTAAAACTAGGCCAAAATTTGAGGCTGTTAAACGAAGACGCCTCTCCGCAAACCAAAGTTCATTGTTTGACTGCCCTCTTGTGCTGCATTCAATATCATGCAATTGTTGTTTTGTTTTAAAAAGTTTTTCCTGAACAAAAGGTGTATGCTGTGGAGGACAGGGCACATTCTTACACACTTCAGCAAGGCTGGGAATCGTAATTGCATTCAAGATTTTATCTCTAATTTCCACATTATATAGAAGATTGGCCCTCTGTCCAGCCTCAGTAAATCTTTTTTTTGAGGGCAGAGCTTCTTGAAACTCCTTGTAATCGAATGGTTTACAATTGTTTGATTCCAAAAGGCTTTCAAAATAATTGCTTGTGTTAGCAGATTTTAGCCCATTCTTTAGTCTTATAATGTCACTTTGATTTGCATTCTTAGCAAAAGCAGGTGCTGGGTTATTGTCAGTTAACAAGGTAGTTGAGTAAGGTCTCTTTTTTGAAGTGGCTTTGGTAAATTTGACATGATCAAAAAGTACAGCAGATTTTGTGTATTCACTTGCTGGTACATGCCACTGTTGTAGCAGTTGTGTACAAGATAGGTCATCTGGAACTTCATTTAATTCAAGTTGAATGAAGTCAAGAATTTGAAATAATAAGGCAGCTACATGCTTGCAGCAACCACCCTTTCCAGCAATACAAGAACAACTTGCGTGCGAAACTTTACCAGTGTCCTGGTGTAAATGAACATACACATTATATTGTGCCTTCTTCATTGATGCATGAACCTCGCTTTTCACAAGAAAGAAATGCTCAGTGCCTTTCATTACATTAGCCTTAACTTGTACTTTCGTGACCATTTTTTCTTTGAAAAGTTGATAGCCATACTTTTTATGTTTGATAGCATTTGGTGGTTTTCCATGTTTAGCTGAGGTGTCAGTAATTAGGTGTTGTTTAAGCAGTTCATGTGTGAACGGAGGCATGCCAATAAGTAATTTTGTCCACTGTATGCTTGTACCAGGAGATTTACTATCCGTTTCCTCCATAATATTTTCGTAAAAAGAGAGCAACAAGACACGTCGAAAATTCGTTAAAATAGACGGCGGCAACGCTCGAGTATTTCAAGTATACGTAAAATATTTTTTTTTAATCCTCCAGAATTGTAAACGAGCAACCAATGGTGTTTAAAAGTACTTTTTAACAATATCAACAATGTGAATGTTTAAAAATGAAATGTCAAACAATTTCAACGGATATTTTTCCCGCCAAACAAACTCAATGTTTTGGTTTGAAAATGGAACGCTTGATCAAAGCATGTGTTGTTTTAGATGGCTAGTTGTACGAACATTTTAGCCCCTCAAGTTGCTGAAAACAGCGTGATCGCCGAGATATTTCTCGCACGTAACGAACAAGAGTGAGCCTTTCATTTAAAATGATTTTTATCCATTTACCTACCTCCTAAGTGTGAAGAAAAGGCAAATGTCTGCTCCTCCATGTTCAATCGAAGCCATGTTTCACTTCGCACGCTTGTCAACGGTGTTGAATATTACAAAATATAAAGCTTGTAAAAATTCCATGAGACGGTAAAGGCCTGAAAAAGCCTTAAGGAATTTATAAAAGCTTTTTACTTAAACTAGATAAAAAAATTACTCGTGGATTGTTGAGTTATTCGCGGTTAACACAACAAAGCACATCGCGATCGCCATATTGGAAAATTCTACTGTGTAACTAAACTACCGTGATGCTTTGCTTTAGCGCAAGTCGCCCATTGGCAACACAAAAAGCTAAGACAAAAAGTTTGTATTTCAATGAGAACGTTAGTAATTTGATTTACACTTTGCGAACTAATTTCAAATAGCGTTTGGTAAACTTCAATATAAAATACTTCGGAAGGAAGGAGGAATTCTTCGTTTGAAGTGCTGCTATTGGTCCAATTATTTCCAATTCGTTTGCCAAGGGACTATAAGTATATCTTTGTGGGTATTGTGTACCAACCTGGGAATGGGATAATTCTGAGATGTCGGACTATTTATTCGACTCGTTATCGAATATTAAGTCAACTTATGCAAACTATGGATACTCTACATACCGCAAACTAAGTAAAGAGAAATTGCACATATTCTAACCCGCGGTAACAATGTCCTTGATTTAGTTTTGACCAATCTTGAATACTATTATTGAAAACCAAAGAAATTATCCCGTTTAGGAATTGAAGTTAACGAGTTCACGGCAACCAGGTTGACCTCGGTTCTAGCGCGATCGGACCGAGGTTTGACCTAGGTTGACTTCGGTTTTTGTTAGGATATTTCTGCACAGTAGTGTACGCCCCATTTCGCTTACGTCAATATTATCTGAACTCGCGAAAGAATTAGTGGTTGAGAATTACAAACAGCCCGCAGCCACAAGGATCGATAACAACCAGTTTGGAACAATCGCAAAGTCATCTACTACTCACGATTTAATATGTATGATGCATAAGTGGACTGAGAAAACTGACGGAAATGGCTCCACAGTACGAATTGTTGACTTACTTGACTTCAAAAAAGCGTTTGATCTGATCATAACATTCCCGTGAGGAAACTGGCTACCCTTAATATACTACTTAGTGTTGAGGCAGGATAGTGAACTTTCTCACAGATCGCAGGCACAGAGTGAAGTTGAATTCGGATTGTTGTTTGGAATGGGCTGCGTTCCCAGCGGGGGTACCGCAAGGGAATATGGTTGTATGTACCGCAAGGGGGTATGGCTGTTTGCCATAATGCATGATGAAATGCCTCGAAATTGAAGGCACCGACACTTGGAAGTATGTTGATGATACGTCAATATGGGAAGTGGTTGACGAACATGAAATAAATACATTGCAATCACCTGCATGTGTTTAAACTTCAAAAACAGTCAACTAATAACAAATTTCAGTTAAACAAAACTAAATGCCAAGAACTCCATATATTTCAAATGCAAAGAACGCTTTGGCGTTCACGGACTTTTGCTCCTATATTACCGCGAATAATAAACCATTAGACGTCGTGTCATGCATGTTACTGGGATTGAATTAATACAATACAATACAATACAAACTTTATTGTGTTCCCAAGCAGGGTTTTTCAACACTAATTTACAATGAATAAGATGTTAATTAATCTATTTACAATTTTTAAAATTTGAAATTAATCTACGCTAATAAATAAGACATTTATATAAAATATCAAGACAAAGTACTTTTGGGCAAAATTTTGGACCAACTGTAGTTTCTTGATGTTAGTGGACGATGTGTTTGACCAAACCGTTGAACAGTAAAACATTTTGTTCGTAACGAGTGCCGAGATGATAAGAATTAAGGCTTCTTTATCGAAGCATTTTTTTACTCGATTTATTTGGCACAGAGAATTCATACATGCAGAGACTAAGTTGGTGATATGGTGGTCATACGACAAATAAGAGTCGAGGTATAAATAGTATAAATGCTAAAGAGTAAAGGTGATAGGATTGCCCCCTGAGGTACGCCATATGAAACAGGGAGAGGGGTGGAGACAGTGGAACCGATTCTGACCGATTGTGTTCTTCCGGTCAGGTAGCTCTCAAACCACTTTGTCACGCTTAGACAAGCTCCAGCACTGCTGAGCTTTTCAAGAAGGAAGGCGTGGTTTACACTGTTGAAAGCCTTTGATAAATCTAATAATATCACATGACCTCAAGTAGAATCTACATGTACTACAGTACTAGAGATTGAGAGGGAGTCTCTAAAAGATTTCTGAAAGGCTGTATTTCCTTTCACAGTTAAAATGTGCTAAAGTTTCTGTGAAGGATTTGATACCATTTTTTTAACATGCATACGGGTCAGTTACAGAATACGCCTGCCCAGTCTTCCATGACTCGCTGCTCCAATACCTATCAGACGATTTGGAGAAGTTACAAAAGCGTGCACTCAGAATAGTATATCCATCACTAACATATCCAGAGGCTTTGCTAGAGGCCTGTATTGACTCGTTGTTTAATCGGAGGGAAAATATTTTATTTCGGTCATGTCGCTTTCGATTATTTGATTATTTTTACGTTTCAATTTTGATTGGCTTTTCGCCACTTTGAGAACGAGGAAATTATATATAATAATGTATTTATTCATGCAATATGTATTCATATTTCCTGAGTTATGCGTGGTTTTGAAATAATATTTGACTTTAGCAGTAATCTCTTCCAGGACCTTACCCTGAGGAATATGTACTATTGGCTGCCGGGACTTCAATCCTGGCCATGGATTT